TGCGTCGCCTTCGTGCACTCGCCCGAACACTCCCTTAACCGCCGTTCTTCCAATGTGAAACTCGTCCAACCCCCCTTTCCAGCTTTTTTGACCCTTTCTATTTCTTTTTATTCATCGTTTTTTGCGCTTTTTTCGTTCTTATCGCTTTATTCTAGAGTAGTTCTATGAATTCTCGTCAAAACAGGGTACCCTAAATTTATCGTAAACGGTGCCTTTAAATTATCGTGACCTGTGCCTTTTAGTGGTAGCCATTCATGGAAACTCCTATCCGGAAAAATCTGAGGTACACATATTTTAATACTCTTGAATTAGAAGGTAGATATAATGATCGTACAGGTTTTCATCTCAGAAATAGCAAACCAAAAAGATACCAAGGGTACAATCTATCTTTCTTCCATACCTACTTACTGAGGTGTACGGACAGTAATTTCAAAAACTTCCTAATACTCATATTTTTAGGGACCCTCTAAAGCTTTTATGAAAGATCTGTTCATTTATATGTGCATTTTATATTAGGAGATTTTATGATATCCCTGTCGTTTCACCAGATCAGGGCTCTCATCGACTTCTCTCTTTCCCACCTTGAAATATTCGAACCAGGCGTGCATAGAATTAGAAGCTCAGAAGGGGCTTCAGTTGTCAGGAGTATCGTTGGGTTACATACCTAATAGATCCATATCTAAATGTTTAACATCGCATTCGATTGGCTTCGAAACTTATAGATTGAAATTCTCCAAAAAGCTGCCGAACTTGACGAAGCTCATCTGCATGCACATGTCAAACTGATTCCCAGTCAGCATTCTTGGGAAAGCGATGGAATCGCTCGTCAAAAATCAAATGAAGAGGCCGAAGCTCTTTTACGAGACGTTCACTCCACTCATCAAGCTCTACAAGAACAGATCCAACGATACTCCAGTATGTCTAGCGTAAGTTTCACGACATTATTCTTTAATTATCTGTTCGGGTGACCTGAAAGTCAGGAGAAGTTCTTGAAGCCAAATAAAGTTCTCGGTACCCGGAAGCAAACTGGGTACTTTTGAAATATTTTCTTTAGGCTTAGCTCAGGCTTAGGCTTATTATATAAAAAAGTTTTTTGAACAATCATACTCAGAATGCGAACAACTCCTTTCTGGTATAGTGGCAAGTGGCGCACTATCACATACGCGTGGTCACGGAATCGAACCTCGGATCGGTACTCGCCTAGGCCACCAAGCCTTCCATCCTTCCGGGGTCGGTGAATTGCTACCAGACTCGTCTGGGCGGATAAAAGCATTGACTTGATCATTGGCTGGCCACCGCAGGTCATTGTATAGGCCGCATATGCACGCCACTACAATTATTAATGGAAGTCGAATGCGAGGGCGCATCCATCCGACGGGATTGATTAACGCCCAAAGACTTTATCCATACGCTTTTAAGTGGACCAAAGCTAAGATTATGAAGTGAAATTTGTCGCTTCAATGTAGGCTGCCCTGAATTTATTCAGTAAGCCCTTTCATTAGCCAGTAGTGCTGGCTGTGATTTGATTCTTCCTTTCTTCGCAAATGTGCACTGAAGCAAACCTAACCTGAAAAATTTCAGCTAAACAGTTCAAAAAAGGAATTGATCTACGACCCTGTTGCCAAGGATCCTGAACACATCTACGATCCTGTGGCTTATGGTGGAGTAAGTACCTTCTTCTGTACCCCTTTGCTGTCCAGAGAGACATAAACTCCTGGCGAATTAATGTTTTTGTGGCGATGAATTCGTTTCACACAAAGCAATAACTGCTTCAGCTTCACCACGCCCATGGAGCTATTGTTCTATCAGAGCCAGTCAAGCGTCCACTTGCGGTCAGTCCACCTCTTTATGATGAAGCCGCGGTCGACGAAAGGTGGGCGATGTATACTGCGAACAAATATGTATTTACTTAATTGTTTCGCTTTTTTGCAGCCATAACATTGATGTGTTACAATATTCTGAAACAGACCTTTCGAATCATCATGCCTATCTCGATAATGATGAGCATATCTACGAGGAAATCGGCCCACATCCACCAGGTAGTTCGAGATTTTTCTTGAATTTGAGTCTTCCGAGAGCTTCATCCGACTTAATTTGTATAATTATTCTACGACAATAAAGAATCAGTTTTATTCTTCAGAAATTTGTAAAGTTTGAAAGTTTTGAAATTCTCTGTGCCCTCTCATTCTGCCCTTCCTTACCAAAACTGAAATAGGAGGGGAGTGACAGAAAATTTATTGCACATCTAAAGCTGTAATGTGATTGCTTTGGGATGGAAGTGTATTCTGACTTTGGGCTCCTTTCTTCGAGCTGGTCTGCTCCCTGCTTCGTCCTGAACTAAGTCCTGTTGATCACTTGGATTTTAGGAATGAGCTTTTTTCTTTGTTATGATTTAAGTTCATGATAAAAGTGGTTTCTGTGTTCTTCCCTAGGAATACCCTATGGACCCCATGATCGACAGGAAGTTCCAAAACTCAACAGCAGCTCTGGCATAGTGAGAGCCCTCTTACCGGACCGCCCGTACTTCCCGTCCCTCGGTTGATGTCACGTCAGACAAGGCGATACAGATTGTAATATTCGATCTAGGACCCACGCACAATCAGCTGTTTACCGTGGCAATGAGGCGATGTTTTTCCCTATTCTTCTCTTCTCTCTTATTCTTTTTGCTTCTGCGATCCTTATTCTAATTCTCTACCTCGAAAGTCTGAAAAATGTGGGCTATTTTAGCCCTCACTAGGGGGTTTCTGTTATTTTATGCTTATGAGTAAACGAATTTTTGCTTACCGTAGTCGGTTATTCGCATTAGGACACACACGTACGCAGTGACACACATTGTATAGCCGTCCCAANGCCCAGTCTTCTTCATTCTTCTGTTATCATTCTCGTCCAGCCCCTTTCCAACGATTTTTCGAAGCATTTTTTCACTTTGAAATCACCGAATCATGCAATTTCTTCACCCTCCCATTTTCTGGGTTACCCAAATCATCGTAAAGTGTGCCTTCAAGCCGATGTATGCTTTCCGTCCTCGTTAGCGAAGATAGAGATGCCTTCGTTCTGTCTGGGCATTTGGAATTTGATATATAGGTACAACCAAAAGCTTCCATCTAATGAAATGGAAAGTACGAGTTAGATCTTCCGAGGTTCCTCCTGAGAGATCAAACCATTTGCCCTTTGGCCCTGAGAGAAACTGGCTTGTTCCCAGGAACATGGCCACCCTTCACGAAAGATCATGATGAGCTATTTCAAGGAACTGAATGTATGTTTGAGGGACTACGTCAATTTGGCTCGTAATATCGGCCGGCGACTGTGATTCAGCAGCAAAATTGATTTTCACAATCGGTTTTTTACTTCATTTCCATTCAGTTTCAGGGTCTATCGGGCATGGCGTGAGCCCATCAGATATTGGGCATGGAGTGAGCCCATCAGATATTGGGCATGGAGTGAGCCCATCAATTATCGGGCAAGGAGTGACGGATAAGAGAGAAACCACTCAATACCATTATGCCGGTGAGCTTCATTTCAGTCCTCACACAATAGCATTTCTCAATTTCTAGTTCGCACAGACAAATTCGAAAAAATATGTATATGTATAGAGGAAAATAACAAAATGAATTAGGCGTAAAATATTTTGAGCGTTCGCTACTTGGGGTGTAATTTCTCGATTAGGAATACTCTTACAGACTTTCAATTCATAAAACTTTTTAGTATCCACGAAGATTGGTGAAGGAGCTGTCGATGCCAGAAATGTCAAGGAGCATGATTATCCAAGTAATTTTTCTACTCCTTTCTCTCTTCTCTCCTCATTTCTTTTTTCTGTAAAAGAGTCAGAAGAGTCTTCGGGTGCTGGTCAATCATGAGGGATGCGCCCCCGCATTCGACTTCCATTCAGAATCGTTGTGGTGTATTGAATGCGTAGGTGGCCTTTACAATGGCTTGCAGTGTCCAGCTAATGTTAAGTCAGTGCTTTTATCCTCCCAGACGATTCTTGCACCAATTAACTGACCCCAGAGGGATGGAAGGCTCGGTTGGCCTAGGGTAATAAAGATCCGGGATTCGAACCCGTGACTATGCGTGTGTGATAGTGCGATACTTGCCGCTACTCCACATCCGCTGTGGGAGCAAAACACTGTTATACTGTTGCGAATAGAAGCCGTATACTGAGTACATCCAAAAACGAGACCGAGCATGAAAAATGAGGTCTATTCTATGACAAAGCCGTTCGATCGTACCTCCGCCTTGATAGAAATTCCACCAACTGACGTTGATAGGAGAAGGAAATACACACACTACAATCGCCTCCTTACTGATTTTTATAAAAGTTTTTCAGTGCCAACACCAATCGGTGAGGGAGTGAGTGATGCAAAAAAGACGACCAGCCACGATTATGAAGGTAATATCGGATGTTCAGCAACGAACTATGAAAAAAGCTTTGTGAAATTGCTATTCGGGGAGAGGTCATTAAAGAGGTTTCGTTTCAGTTCTGCAGAAAGTCCCGGAAGCAGTGAACGGTGTAAGCCCGATTTACAAAGATGATTACAAAGGTTAGTTGTTACTTCTTGTATACTGCGTACCACTGCTTCGAAGTAAAGCTCTACTTTTATTAGACACACCTCAGTTACCTAAATAGATTAATACTACAACAATAATTATGGTTATCAATTTAACCCAACAAGAAAGCAGGTCACTAAATAAGGCTCCACTTTAAAGTCTCTCATTGAGTGAAGCGGGAGACAAACCCTATCCGGAGCCTCCCGCGGATTTGTAATCGACCAACTTATAGAATTCCATTTTTGGGGTACGGCATGTGAATCCTTTAAGCTAAATGTGAAGCAAAATACCCTTATACCTCATACNAAACCCTATCCGGAGCCTCCCGCGGATCGGGAACTCGTCCAAAACACCTTCATCGGAGCTCCCGCGGATTTGTAATCGACCAACTTATAGAATTCCATTTTTGGGGTACGGCATGTGAATCCTTGAAGCTAAATGTGAAGCAAAATACCCTTATACCTCATACACAATTTGATCATACTCGTTCTACGTCGAGTAAAATTCTTGTGAATAAACAGTACAGGAAGCATTTCAATTTAGTGTTCCGTTGATACAAAACCTGCCTACCGTTCTATTTTCCTGTTCCACCTGTAGATGAATGCGGTACACGATATGACCATAAAGAATTTTGGTCTCATATTGCCATTTTCTAGAAGCTTTAACTAATTAATTACGGCTGTTGCGTAAGGCATAAATGGGAGTTTATGTAAGCATCACTCGCTAACCAACTAGTAGAATTTGATTTTCCCTACGAATCATCTTTACCCTCTCAGTATTGAACAAAACTGATAACAAGTAAAAATGCCTTCATCTCAAACAACCATTCTCCAACAGGTTAATATTTTTCGAACCAGATCTTATGGGTTAGCTAGCGCCACGCGCTGGGTGGTTCGGGTCTTGTACCCAAATTCCCACGGTGAAAAGTAGGATTCTACAATTACCGTAATATTCCTCCAGAAATGCAGGTTTTCCTTATAATCCTCCATGTAATGATGAGAGTGATGCTTTATTCTATTGTCATTGGGATGCCGTCAGAACCTACCATTTTATACTACTTCAAAAATAGCTCCATAAATATTAGGCTGAGTCATAAGTCCTCGGACAAAGTGATAATGCTGACTTCTAGAGATCATAACTCGAGAAAGAGGCGACGAAAATGGACGAGCGAGGCAACATTAAATAGAGTATAAAAAGCTCTTCCAAATACGTACTAACGAGTACACCTGACCACCTCCTGCGCTTGAGCGTGAGGAGAGAAAGTGCCGTGTCGGCCCATCCATGTCATACTGCTTCAAAGCATGAGGCACACCATCGACCGAGCTTTCACACCAGATCGGCTTCCACCTGGCTCCGCAGCACGTCCAAATCCAGCTCCAATGAGCGTCCCGGACGGTCTTCATTTTCGATGGAATGATCGTCTGACGTGAACTTCGAGTGCCACTTGTGAATTGTGCATTTAGCAGGAGCAACCTTCTTGAGACTTCCTTCATACGTCTATCGATCTCCGCGGGTTCTTGGCCAGATAAAAAAAGAAATGGCATGGTGTTGCGGAGGAAGAGTGGCGACGGCTTGAAATCATGGGACATGGTTGCAGGAAAGGAAACA